CAGAGTGGCCCTGATATGGGGCTGCCAACGGGGCAGCTAGAGGCTCCCATTGGCACAGCAATGTCTGGCTTCATTGTTCCAGTTTGGAGCCTGGAGAGCGACAATACAGAGTTATTCCCCTTGTCCTTCCCATCACCTGGCTCCCTCCATTGCTGCCTTCTCCCCTCTGCAGGGGCTGACCCGGGCTGTGCTGTCCATCTCTCAGTCTCTTGGTGAGGGCAGGAGGGGATTAAATGGGGTGGCATCACCCCCACCCTGCAGCTCGGGCAGCCGAGTTTTGGCTCATTGGCTGATGGCAATGTGCCCTGGGCTGCCCAGAGGGAGTTTCCACTGCACACACAACCACTGTTTCCTTTCATGGTAATAGGATCTGGGATGGCTTTTTCCAGATAATGTGGGGGGGCCGTCAGGACACGTCCTGGCACATGGTAGAGAATCGACAGCTGAGATAGAAACAAAGACATCATATGTCACTCCACACCTTGATATATTTGTTACCTGTTTTGTGTTGTTCAGACTTACAGAGCAAACCCGTCCTGTGCCTGCCATTCCTCACACACAGGAGACACCTTTCCCAGGCCTGCAACCCTCAGTGAGTTCCCACTGAGCTGGGAATTGCTGTGGAAGGCACTCAGGAGAAGCTGGCCCACAGGGGAAAGGCGATGACTCCTAATTAGCTCTTATTCATGACATTAAAAGCACAATTAGGAATTATTACTTGAGGTAAATGCAACGCACTGACCGTGGCCGTTTCACACCAGCCCTCCCCTCTCTGGGCACTGCGTGTGCAGTGTGGTCACCCCAACAGGCATCATCACCTCCCCTCCTGTGCAAACAGAGGAGTTCAGTTCTTTGCTCCCTGCTGCAGCACATGAGGCAGAGATAGCATCTCTGGCATGCTTCTTGCTGGAACAGACTCTGATACCATCTCCCCAGCATTATGATGTTTACTTTTTTCTTTTATCTCAAGGGAATTTGTTGTGGGTGAGTGCTTCAGGAAAGCCTGGGAGATTGAATTCTTCTGGTAACATGAAATAGCTGAAGCAGTACTGCTCCTCTGTATCCTGATGTGCCATCAACAGCCAGTGCAGGGGAGCTCTGTGCTGAGGGTTCCTGATGTCAGAGTGGGGCTGCTGTGAGATTTTTGTTCAGGAGCTCAGTTAGGGGCCAGGGCAGCAGCTGACCAGCAAGAGCATTGGTCAGAAAAGACCAGGGAAAAGCTGATATTGCAGGACAATGTCCAGATTGTCTGTCTGACATCTGCCACACATAGTAAAAGAACTGAAGCCTGGGCTGAGGTTGTAATAATACAGAAAGAAAAGCTCTATGGTCAGGTGTCCCCTATACCTGTGGGCGGTGGAAGGGCTTTGCTTTGCCTCATTTTAGGGCAGTTGTCACATTCAGGCCGACTTGTAACTTGGCCTAACATGTGAGGGTGACCTGAGGGGAAGTCAGACCTCACAGCACAGGTTTCAGCCCATGTGAGAGGCTCAGGGCCAACATGGGAATTGCCTGGAGCAGGAAGGTGTTTGCTGGAGCAAACATGAGCAAAGTGAGCGGCGTTCACAAGAACTGGGAGCAGGGGTGGCCCGGGATGGCTCTGGAGCACAGCTCTCACACGACGGCTCTTGGGTAATCCTGTACCCCCCACTGCAGAGGGAAACGGGCCAGGAACATCTGATCTTGGTCCTGCCAGGTTGTCCCAGGATGGTGCTGGAAGCTGAGCTCTGTCCTCTGCTCACTCCTCCCTTTGCCAGTGTTGGGTTGTGCCCAGGTCCCCTACTTCCCCAGCTCTCTGAAGGATGGGGAATGTGTGCATTCCAAACTCCCAGTTTTTGCAGCTTGGGGAGTCAAAATTCCAAACCTGAAGCCCATAGGTGTGAGGCAGTGCTGCCCAGAGAGCAGAGCCATCGAATGAGAGGATCCAGAGTCTGTCTCTTGTTAAGCTGTTTCCTTGGTGGCTGCCCACAGAGTCACCCAACGCTCCTGGAGCTGCTGAAGGGAGCGTGACTGCTGTGAAGTCCGGAGATCTAACAGGAGGAAGATAAAGCCTTGTTATTATTGTGTCCTTCAGGGAACATGAAAGAAAGGAGGCACCGTGAATTACCGAGGGTGAGGCTCTGGGAACATCTGAGCACCTCCAAAATCAGTTAATGCATTATAATGTGAAAACAGCCGGAGGGGGCTGGGAAGGAAGGAGATCACAACTGAGAGAAAGCACAAAAGGGTTCCTAATCCCTATAACTCCTTCACTACCTCACAGGCACCTCTGCAAAAAGCAAAAATAACTTCTTTTATTGAGAATGCCATGGCTGGAGCCTGGCAGGCCAGGCTGGGTGTGCGATTTTCCACTGTGCAAAACAAGAGCTGGCGTCACATCAGTGAAGGGCTTTTTTCCCGAGAAAGAATAAAACAGTGGAGTGCCACATTTCCTGCTTCTTTGCTGCTTTTTTCATGCCAATACCTGTCATGTTGCTGTAATCATTCTCCTCAGTCCTTCAGTAGCCCGGGGCAAGTGTGGCCAGCACTGTCCCTCCTCTCTGTACTGGCATGGTCAAACCCTCAGTGTTTGCAGGGTCCTCACCCCCGCTGCTGGATGTGTTGGGCTTGGCCCATCAGCACTTTTGATAGAAGTGATTCTGGTCCTGCTGAGTTACCATTAGCATCGGTGTCTTCAGCTGCAAATCTGTAGGAAAAAGCCTATAGCACAAACACTGATAAGGATTGATCTTCCTACTGATAAGGATTTATCCTAGTCTTCCCATTGATAAAGACTCACCATGCTCTTCCGATTGATAAGGATTGATTCTTCTCTTCCGATCAGGAATTGCAAGTAATGTGTCTTGGCTGTGGGTGTCTGATAGAGCTTCTGTCCTTCTCCTCTGATTTAGAATATTTAAGCATTAAACCCTGCCTCAGTGTTGAAAGAGTGGAAATTGTGGCACGGGATTTTTGAGCTTCTACACATTTTTTAGAAGTCACAGGCAATTTCTGTGGAATTTGGGAGAGGTGATGGAGCAAAGCAGGTACTGCTGGGAAACATTACTCATCTGCCCTTTAAATCAACTGAAACCCCACCAGTGTCGGGACTTTCCACTCTCTGTAGGGAGATTCAGCCCAGCTGGTACATAAGCAGAAATTGCGGGAGTTTCTTCTCTTTTGAGCTGTAAGACTTCTGCCAAATCCTGTATCGGTACACAAATCCTGCCAGGTCTGTGCTTGTCCTGCGATAAAGGTCCAGAGGGGAAAGTTTCCATCTGGCTTTAGCTTGGCCAATATAAAGATTATGGATGCGCAGAGCTCTTAAGTCAGCAGCTTTCCTTGGCTTTAGACTCTTTAAAAAAGCAAATAAATATATTTGTAGATTTTTGCAATGATCCTTGCGGGTGACTTGGCGGATGCCAGAGGATTCACTTGTGTTATTTCACGAGGGAGCAGCGGGTGGAGCTGGAACGGACACTGGGAATGCCAAAACATAGCCCTGAGCAGGGACCTGGAGCACGCCAGGTGCTGGGAATGGAAGCGGAAGAAGGTCCCATGTGAGCCATAGTGTTGCTGGTGGGATGTGACAAAAGATGTGAAATCAAGGAAGGAAAAATGATGATTCTGGAATTTGGCTCTGGCTGTCAGGGGTGTCGAAAGGCGCCGGCAACGCCTCCTGGCCGGGCTATAAAGGGCCCCGAGGCAGGGGAGCGAGCACTCGCTGCTGCTGCTGCTGCTGCCGGGCCGCCTCTCTCTCCACGTCCAGCCTCCAGCATGAGCACCACTGTCAGGCAATTCTCCTCCTCCACCTCCCTCAAGGGGTTCGGGAGCCTGGGGGGAGGCTCCAGCAGGCTCTCCTCCGTGCGTGTTGGGGGAGGAGGCTACAGGGCCCCCAGCGTGCACGGGGGCTCTGGCAGCTACTCCGTCTCTTCCCGCATGGTGTCGGGGCTCGGCAGTGGCTTTGGGGGCAGCTACTGCAGCAGCGCAGGAGGGGCCCTCGGCGGGGGCTTCGGGGGCAGCTATGGGGCCGGCTTTGGGGCCGGCTTTGGAGGAGGCTTTGGAGGAGGTTTTGGAGGAGGCGATGGCATCCTGCCCGCGGGGGAGAAGGAGACCATGCAGAACCTCAACGACCGCCTGGCCACCTACCTGGACAAGGTGCGAGCCCTGGAGGAGGCCAACACCGACCTGGAGGTGAAGATCAGGGAGTGGTACAAGAAGCAGGCGCCTGGTCCTGACCGTGACTACAGCCCCTACTACAGGACTATCGAGGAGCTCAGGAACAAGGTAGGATGCTGGGATTAATGCAGTTGATGTTGTGTGTCAGAGTGGGAGCAGAAACAATGACTGTTACCTCTGCAATTAGTCAGCAGCAATTATGTCGTAAAAAGTGTCCCAGTGGCACGTGTGGAGTGCCCGGCTGGAAATCAGAGATGCCTCAATGTCAGCTTGTGGTTACATCCTCCTGAGTGGGACAAGTGGCAACTTTTACTGGCAGGAACAGATCTAAGAGGATGTAACACAAAAATGAAGAAAACAGACAAGTCTGTACTGATCATGTGCATTCTTGGAAGTTTAAAATTAAGGTGCAGGGAAATTTGCAGCTGTGGGCGAACTGTGAAACACTGATGTCATGTTTGGAAACATTCACGAAAAGAAGTTGCAAACTTGTTTCAGCTCCTCCTGTTGAGGAGATTTAGATGATAAAAAAATGGAACTGACCAATAATGACTTTTTTGCCTCTTTTGGCAGTTGCTGCCCCAGGGCTGGAATTGGTACAAAGCCCAGGGAGCTGGGGGGATTCCCCTCTCTTTGATTTGAGTCCCACCATACCGTTCTGGAGGATTTGCTTGAGTTTACAATGTTCCATGTTACTTCCCATGCATGAATTGCCCCCAGCAATTCCAGAAGTTGTGGACAGCTGGAACTGCAGGAGTGCTGGCAAAGGATGCAGGGAGCTCATTTTTCCCCCCTCTCCTCAACAGAGTTCTCCTGAACTCTGACTTGAATCTCCTCCCAGTGTGGGTTATTTGCTCCTGCTTTGGTAATATGAAAATCAGAATCTGTAGGCACCTGCTCACTGCCTTTTGCTCCATTTCTGCTGCCAACAAATTAAATACATCCCAGAACAAGGTGTGCCAAGCACAGACATCCCACTGGTCTCTCTGACCTTTCCACAAACAGCACCTGCCCTGAAGGATAGGAACAAAGGCCGCTATCAGATCTCACACATCTTATGTGGCCTCAGTCTGCCTTTTGAAACACTTACTGATGAATTTTTTGATAGGGAGGTCATGGAGTAACCAACCCTTCCTGTAGTCAGTCTCAGCTGTATCTCACCTGTCCTGATTCCAGACACTCTTGCGCTAAGGAAATGCCAAACTTCCCCAAAAGTGCTGTTTCTGTCCCAGCACTCAGCCAGGAAGAATTCTTGAAACTCCTTATCTTTCACTGCCCAGGTGTTGGTGGCCACAGTCGACAATTCCAACCTCCTGCTGCAGATTGACAATGCCAGGCTGACAGCAGATGACTTCAGGACCAAGTAAGACACATTTCCTGGAAAAGATGGAACAAAGTGTGCAGGAAAGTTTGATGGAATGAGAAGAAAATCGCATCCAAACCCCAGAAAGGCAATGTGGGAGCAAAGCCTTCAAAACAAGGGTGTAATTTCCAAAGCAGATTGTTATCTCAGTCTTACAGGCACCCAGGGATTGTGTTGTTTCCATCCAAACCCACTATTTTATTCCTGTTGCTT